GAGACAGGTCTTTGGAGAGTGACATCATGCTTGGGAGGGTGGAGGGACGGCACAAAAGGGGAAGACCCTCTATGAGGTGGATTGATTCAGTGACTGGGGTAATCAGGATGGGTGTGTTGGAGGCAGTGAGACTGGCACAGGATAGGGCAGGGTTTAGGGCTGTTGTACATAGGGTCGCTATGAGTCGCAAGCAACTCGATGGCACATAACGACAACAGGTGCTGTTGAGTCAGCTGTAACTCATGGTAACCCTGTGATCAATGGAAATTAAGCGTCTCCTATCACATGCCATTCTCGTCATTTCTGGAATATTTGAGCGCATGGTTGGAGATACTGTGTCAATCCCTCTCTTTGAGGGTCTTCCTCTCTCTTTCCCTGACCCTTTTTGCAGCATGATGTCCTTTCCCAAGGACTGGCCGCTTCTAACCATGTGCCCAAAATACGTGAGACCGAGTTTCACCACCCTTGCCTCTAAGAAACACCCTGGGTGCACCTTCTCCAAGGTAAATCCGTGAGTCCTCTTGGCAGTCTGTGGGATATTCAGTACCCTCTCCCACACCACAACTCAAAGGCATCGATTCTTCTTCTATCATCCTTAGTCAGTGTCCAACTTTCAGATGTAGAGAAGGTAACAGAAAAGGCCGTACCTTGAATCAGGGGCACTTTCTTCTCCACACTGACCTCCTTGCAGCCTGGTACCTTAGAGAGGTCCTTGACAGCAGATTTTCCCAAAGCAACACATCTTTTCTTGGTACCAAGGTGGTGCCAAGCAAGATGAAGTTATTGACAACTTCAGTCTTTTCTCCATCTATCATGGTGTTGCCTGTTTGGCCAGAGGTGAGAATTTTTTGCATGATTGAAAGGTATATGCAAAAGAAGACTCACCGTACATTGAATAATTCCATGTGGACATTGGGAAGGAAGAGGTCATATTTGTACAACTGGCCTGATGCAATGACTCATGCAACACTTTCCTCAGACTGAGCTCCAGGGCTCTCCCCCAAGTAAGATCAGTTGTTATATCCCAAGGGAACTTAGTGTGTGTGTAGTGGTCACCCCAACTCATCCAAGCTACAGTGTTTCCATTTCATGTGACAGAGAAATTGTGTATTGGGTACACCGTGGCGGTGACATTGACTGCTGTAGCTGTCCACAGCTCTCCCCTGGAGTGGATGTTGGGTACGGGGGTACAGAGGGCACTAGGATTTTCACAGTAACCCAAAGTCCCAGAAGGGCCAGCACTTCTCCCAAACGTGACAAACCATCCCAGCAACATTCGCTAAAAACATCTGGTAACCTTGGGAGAGAATGTTCATAAAACCTGAGACATTTTTATCCCTTGTGCTAAAGAATTTTAAAATTTTTCTACAAGTGTGAAAGGCAGCTTAAAATTCCCTGTGTTATGCCAAGATCGGAGTGAACTTATCTCTCTAAGCACCAGAGATGTAGGCATATCCATGGTCTTCTGGTCATTTCCACAGAAAAGAAAGTCCCCACAAAAATTGTAAGCATTCATTTACTGCATGTGATGATTTTATAAATCAGGACCAGATTTATGAGCATTTCCCCCTCCCCCAACTTTGAGAAACAGGAGCCTAGGGATTTCTTCCAGAATTTTTCCCCCCATATGCATGACCATCTGGTTTATGTGTTCTAAAAAGGGGAGATGTAGTCATATATGTGTGTGTATGTGTTTTATATATTAAGGTCAGACAATGAGAAGCTAACCAGAAGGTCAGAGGTTCTAATTCACGAGCATCTTTCTGGGAGGAACAAATGAGTAGTCTAGGAAAATGGAAGGCCCTACAGTGTAGGCACGAGTCAGAATCAGCTCAGTGGCACATGACAGTAACGTACGTGTGTGTGTGTATGTGTGTGTACACATGTTGTTGTTATTGTTGTTAAGTGCCATCGAGTCATAGGCGACTCATAGCGACCCTATGAACGAAAGTCCTCGACAGTTTCATGACTTTCATCCTTTCTCCACATTCGTAGGGTTTCCGGAGGCAAGCTATTTACAAAAGTGGATGCCACTCCTGCTTCCAAGCCTGTTTTAATCAGGGAGCTCCACCCAACACTGTCCACCATGTTGTTGTTGTTGTTGTTATGTGCCATCAAGTCACTTGCAATTCATAGCGACCCTATGTACAAGAGCCCTAAGTGCCGTTCTATCCTGTGCCAACCTCGCTGTCTCAAACACACTCATTCCCACCACTCCACTCACAGAATCAATCCATCTCATCGAGGGTCTTCCTCTCCTGCATTGTCCCTCCACTCTCCCAAACATGATGTCCATCTCCAAGGACCAGTCCCTCCTTGTGACATGTCCAAAGTATGTCACACAAAGTTTCAGAATCCTTGACTTCAGGGAACACTCTGGCTTCACCCTCTCCAGGACAAACCTGTTAGTTCTCCTAGCAGTCCATGGTGTATTCAACACTCTTCTCCAGCACCACAACTCAAAGGCATCAATTCTCTTTCTATATCCAACTCTCAGATGCATAGCACATAATTGCAAAGACTATAGCCTGGATCAGGCGCACCTTAGTCTCCAGCCTGACATCATTGCACTTCAGTACTCTCGAGAGGTCCCTCACAGCTGACTTTCCCAATGCAATTCGCCTCCTGATTTCCTGGCTGCTGTTACCAAAAGTGTCGACTGTGGAGCCAAGTAGACTAAAACTGTTACTATCTCAATCTCTTCACCATCCATACTGATGCTGCCAATTGGCCCAGTGGTGAGAATCTTTGTTTTCTTGATAGTGAGCTTCAATCCATATTGAACAACAACCTGCGTTATGCAGATGACACAACCCTGCTCGCTGAAACTGAGGAAGACCTGAAGTGCTTGCTGCAGAAGGTAAAGGACTACAGCCTTCAATATGGATTGAAGCTCACTATCAAGAAAACAAAGATTCTCACCACTGTCCACCATGGGTGACCATAATCACATTTGACACATCAGTGTCACAGTGTTCAGCTTCACAGCAACCACAAGTTACCTCTGTATGCCAAGTGGACAGACCAGGGCTATACAACCTAGAAGAAAGTTCCACCAAAAAACAATTAAAGACAGGCCTTAGGGCCGTGGGTTAGAGTCACGCACCTACATACACATATACATACACATACATGCATACACATAGTTGCTGTTGAGTACCATTGAGTCAGCACCAACCCATAGCTGACACTGCAGGGGGTTTTCAGACGCAGTAAATCACAAGGGAGGAGATTGCTCATCTTTCTTCCACAGAGCAGCTGGTGGATTCGAACCACATACTTTTGCAATGGCTGCACAATTCCTTACCACTAAGCCACCAGAGTTATATATAGTTTTATGATGTTTAGGAAGCTCTAGTAACTCCTGGTAAGAAGCCACACAGACAGACAGTTTGAAGTTGCCATCTGCTCCACCAGGGAAAGGTGGGCGATCCTTTCCCATTCTGTTTACTGCCTCTGAAAACCTACTCAAGGGTCAGCTGTGAGCTGATTCTGATTTCACGGCAACGTACATTGTTTATTGATACGTTATGCATATACATACGGGAAGGTTGATAGGAGGGGCTGTTCCTTGGAGAAGGATGTGATGCTGGGAAGGGTGAAGGGTCGACAAGAGAAAGGAAGACCCTCACCCAGGTGGACTGACATGGTAACTGCTGCAGTGAGCTCTTGTGTGTCAGGAAGGTTGAGGAAGGCGCAGGATAGAACAGGGTTCAGATCTTTTGTTCATAAGTTTGCTCTGAGTTATACTTGACTTAGTGACACCTAACAACAGTATAATATATATATATGTATGTATGTATGTATGTATATATATATGTATGTATGTATGTATATATGTATGTGTGTATATATATGTGTGTGTGTATATATATATATATATGTATTTATGTGTGTGTGTGTATTACTTTGCTCACCTCGGTGAGTATAGTGATGAGAGACATCCTTGTTGCATTGTGGCTAAGGCATTTGGCTGTCATCCTAAAAGCCAGCTGTTCAAAGCCAGCAGCTATTTTACAGGGAGAGAAAAATAAAAAGATAAGACAGTCTGCCTCAGCAAAGATTTACAGCCTGTGCAACCTTCTGGGCATTTCTGCTGTGACCTCTTGGTTTCCTAACAATGCGAGTCAACTTGATGGCAGTGCGTGGTGCTTGGGGCTTACAGCAAAGATGTTCAAAAGCAGTAGCATTTTTCCATCTGGAAAGACTGATGAGGAGGGGTTCACTAGAGGACTGAAATGCCAGGCCCTTGAATTCCTACAAATGAAATAAACAAGCTGTACAGTATTCATGAACAGTTGCACTGGGGCTTAGCGTTCTGCCTTTGGGGTTCTGTTCTTCCTCAGAACTGAAGTTCTGTCTGTCATCTCTCATCCGATCTCGCTGTCCGGTGGGGGCAGCATTCACAGCACCGTCTGCACTATTCCTCTCTGTGCTCCCGGGCCGCTGTCCTCAGGGACCGGTCAGGAGCGGAGGTGGTAATGAGAACAGGGTTTCCCTTTGCTTGGGGCCACATGAGCGTGTCTCCTCTACGTAAGAAGGTGCCCCTCAGGTCAGCCTGTGATAAAACCCAAGTCAGACGAGGCTGGATCCTGCATGTTTTGTGCCCATGGCCAGCGCTGACCCTCAAGACCTCACATGGTCATCTAAGCAGTCACATAAATTGGCGTCCACGTGCTCTCGGGCCATTCGGTAGAAGTGGTACTGATGTGAGTTCAGCCTGTGAAAAGACAAACGAGCATCTCTGTAGGCACTGAAAATAAGGGGCGGGGGAGGAGGACGTGTTGACTGTTTCGACAGGCGACCTAACGGTGTGGTGGCCAGATGCCCACGGCTGACCTTCTGCATCTCGTCCCCACCGTTGAGCGGAGGTGTATGCAGACACTGTCAGCCCCAAAGAGTTGAGAAACTGTTTGCCTTCCAAAGCTCTGTGTCGCCCCAAAAAGCTTGACCATGCCAACAGCTCGTCAGCTCATGTGTTTTTTCCGACCCTCCAGAAAATGGCCTTGCAACCTGGGACAAACCGAAGCAGCGTCCGGCCCGGGACCAGGACTGGAAGATAGGAGGAATGTCTGAAGCCTATCTGCGCAGGAAGAGCCATTCCGAGAGGCAAGGTGCGTTGAAACATGAGCAGTCATCCCCACATCTCATCCAGGCCACATGGACCAGCTCCATCTTCCACCTGGACCACGACGATGTGAACGACCAGAGCGTGTCCAGTGCCCAGGCCTTCCAGGCAGAGGAGAAGAAATGCAAAGGTAACCCCGATTCCTTTTCCATTAAGTAGCATCAAGCGTTTGAATGAGGATTCTTTTTCTAGAAGCATCTGTGGAACTGTCCACTCTCTGTCCCTTTTTCCTGCTGTGAAGTGTCCTCTTGTGTTGCCCTCCCCCCATCTACTCTAAGGCTCTGTTACCCCTGTATCTCCTTTTGAGCATAAATAAATAAGTGGGTTCAAAGGAAAGCCGTGGATTTCAGTCTGGTTGTGTTGGGGCACTGGAGAAGAAGTTGTTTTTCTTTGTCTAATTAGCAGAAGAGTTGTTAGTTTTGGCTGTTACTCTGTTTTGGAATCTGAGTAGAAACAGACATTGCCGGGTTATGTAAGTGCTTCCTTAGAAGTGTGTGTGTGTGTGTGTGTGTGTGTGTGTGTGTGTGTGTGTGTACACACATCTCTCCCTTGTCATGTCAGCTGATAATGAGGTGATTGCTATGCTTCCCTCTAACCTAGATAGATGATTCGTACTGAAAAGAGAGGTTTTAAGTTGTTTTCTTCCACTCGTTAAATCCTTGCACCATCATGCTAAAGGAAAGATTATGGTGTTAGAAGATTGTCACCTCATTAAAAAAAAAAGGTCCACCTGGCCTAAGTTGCTGATTGCCTTAGATTTAAGTGGTCTTTACCTCAGGTCGCCTCCACCTCAGCAGATGTCTCCCCGCTGATCGCTTTATTGTCTTAAGACTCCCCAAAATCTTTGCTCCTTAAATCGATTTCTGTCTTCAGATGTCTACACTCGTTATTTTCCAGTTTGGCCTTTAGAAAAACAGTAAGGGCCTTTGTGTTTTCTCTTGAAGAATAGTGACTCGAAAAAGCGTGTATTTCTGACTCCTAACATTATATTGTGAGTCACAGTAAAGTTTGAAGTTGTGTTTTTTAAAATCTGGCTTGAGGGGTTTTTAAAGAATACACGCGTTGTGCAGGACTTTTGCAAACTGTCCTAACTTGAACATAAACATTTGATTTGTATTTGCCCCTCTGTCAAGAGAGCTGATCCTTTAGCTTTTCTGAAAACAGAGATGCTTCTTGAAATCGCCAGTTGGTCTGGGGAGTACAGGCGGACAGATGCTTTGGTAGAAAATAGGAGTGTCAAAAAAGAACAGTCTGAGCTCTAACGTGAGAGCGGGGAAAACTGTGTGTTCCCCTTGGAAAGATTTGTGTTAGAACTGCCTCTCATCTTTATTATTTAGAAGATTTTAGAAATTGAAAGGAATATGTGTAAAAAGGGCAAAATAGAATTTTGGAAGGAGTCAGGATGTAGGAAGAATGTGTGCAAGCTTGTGGGGAGGGGGTATGTGTGTGTGATGTACTTGTGATATAGCCTTAACTTCTGTGACCAGACTGTCTGTCTGTCTCTTCAGATTTTGTGGGTTGACATCAAAACCAAAGTGCAAACAAGAAATTCTAATGTGTCTGGTAGCCTAGTGATAAGAAGCTATGCTGCAATCCCAAAGGCATACAGTTCAAATCAACCAGTGGGGGATTGAGGAGAGTGACCAGTCTCCTTCCATGTGATTCACTGCCTCCAAAAACCCCCTGGAGGGTCAGCTATGGGTGGTCAATTTCACCTCAACGGCACACAAACACCACCTAACCAGAGACCCTCATGAACTAAATTTGACCCGTTTGCAATGAATACTTGAATTCATTCGGTCAGGGGACCCACCTAGGACTCTGCCCTAGACAAAAGTCTCAGCCTTCGGTACCTAAAATTGACATTCCACAAATTTCAGCTTGTTGGTGCACCTTCAAAACGAGATAAAACCATCTCTACCTGGATCCAAGGCCTGAAATATAATAATTAAGAAAAATGTTAGAGCCAGAGGATATTTTTGACTTTTTTTTTCCATTTGGATGAAAGTTTACAGAGCAAATTGATTTTCAGTTCAGCATTTCATGCATTTTGGTTTACAGCATTGACTTCGATCCCTGCAATGTAGCAGCACTTATCCTGCTCCCTCCCTGTGTATACCTTTTCCCTTCAGCCCTCCTCCCTCTGCCTTCCTGCTTTCTGACATTTCTCTCTGGGTAAATCCTGCTCTTTTGGATGCCAATGTGGTTGATCGTTCTAAGAAATTTTCCTCCCTGGTGGTGATATTCACCTCGAAGCTCTGTCTATTGTTTGGTTGAAAGTTGAACCATGAGATTGAGTTCAGCTCCAATTCTGAAGGTATCTGAAGGTTATAATCCCTGAAGATTCCACTCATCCCAATGAGATTAGTAAGCCTGTTAAGTTGTGGGATTTCTGAGGGGATTTTTAGGCATTTTTCTCTCGCTCTATCAAGACCTCCCGTTGTAATCCTTGTCAGAGCAATTTGCAGTGCTGGGTGGACATCAGCTGGTCCCTCTCGTCGTTCCGTCGTAAAGGCCGAGGGCTGGATGGTCCAGGGCGCTTCCTTTAGACTCATTGTTTCCATGAGACTTTCATTTACTTCGTCGTCTTTATTTTGAACAAAGACAGACTTAGAGCTGCACGTTAGCACGGTCACTGAACCTGACGTATTTGAGTTTGAATCCTAGACCGATCACTTTCTGCCCCTGTGCAAACTACCATATAACATTATCAATGTTGTTTGTTGTTGTTATGTGCCGTTGAGTCGCCTGCAACTCATAAGGACCCTATGTACAAGAGCCCTAAACCCTGCTTTATCCTGTGCTAACCTCACTGTCTCTGACACACCTACCTACTCCCATTACCCCAGTGACTGAATTGATCCATCTCATAGAGGGTCTTCTCCTGCACAAGCATGACATCCCCCTCCAAAGAATGGTCCCTCCTGCAATGTGTCCAAAGTATGTCAGACAAAGCTTCAGAATCCTTGCCTTCAAGGAGCAACCTGGTTTAACCCTCTCCAGGATGAGCTTGTTTGTTTTCTTAGCAGTCCGTGGTATATTCAATACTCTTCTCCAGCACCACAGCTCAAAGGCATCAAGTCTCCTTCTGTCCTCCCTAGTCATTGTCCAACTCTGATGCATAACAAGTGATTGCAAAGACCATGGCCTGTATCAGGCGCACCTTAGTCTCCAGAGTGAGATTTGAATAAGATCATGTGCTTGGGCATTTTTAGTGTACTGCCTCATACATGTTGTTGTTAGGGTACCTAACAGTTGGTCTCCCACTTTAAATTACTCGGCATGCAACTGCATTAAATCCTGCCCAGTGCCACACTTCAAATGTTGTTGCTCTTAAGAACCAGCAAGTTGGAACCAACTCGTAGCTGACCCTCCAGTGGGTTTTCAGAGGCTGCAAAACACATGGGACGAGGTTGCCCATCTTTCTGCCATGGAGCAGCTGGTGGAGTCAAACCACCTGCCTTTGAGACAAGAGCACAGTTCCTTCCCACTAGGCCCCCAGAGCATCCTGGTGCTCCCCCAATGACAGCTAGCATGATTTCTCTTCTCATTATTAACCCTGCGTTGTGAAATCCCTGGCATCCCTTGTATTACCCTGTGCACCCAGGTGGGGAAGGCAGAAGATGACCATGACAGATGAATGCAGGGTGAGACCTAATTCATTGAGGTGAGGCTTCCAAATTCCCATTTCATTCATCTCTTCTTTTTGTTGAAATGCAGGGAATGATTTAATTATAAAATGTAGTTAAAATCCTTTCTCAGAATTCTAGTGTTAAACAGAAAACCAGAACCTACACCCATTGCCATTAAGGCGACATTAGCTCATGACACTTGGGTACGAAAGAGGAGAACTGTGCTCTCTAACGCTTTCGTTGGCTGTGACTGTTCTGTCGTCGAATGCTAGGCCTGCCTTCTGAGACTTCAGTGGGTGGTTTAGAACCATCAACCTTTTTGTTGGCCACCAAACACTCAACAGTTCGTGCCACCCGTGGTAAACTCTCCAGTGGACCAGAGTCACTCAGGTTCACCTTGACAAGAACATAAAGCTTGAGTTCCACACAGAGATGTCCCTGGCAGATCTGTGTCGTTATGGCCTGTGAACTTCATGTACTGAAATTCACGAATTTATTTGTCCGCTCACAACGGGAGCCTGTGTTCAGTGAGGCTTCAGTCAGGCCAGCGACCCAGGGTTCATAGTCACTCTTTTCTCAGCGTGCCTTCTCCTCGATACCGTTTGTCTGCTGCCTGTATACTGTCACTCCCAGGAGAGTTCAAGTTCAGTGTCCATCATGCTGGGTGTTTCTTTCCTGATCTGCTCTGTCTGGCCTCACACATGATGGGTAACTCGGGCAGAGGCTCCAAGTCCATGGCTACATCATGGTGCATGGCCACCTGCGGTCTGAGTCAGTTCCTGCGTGACACAGAAGGGTTCATGGTTAGTGGGTTCGTCTCAGTGAGCAAGTTATCGAGAAAATGGGGCTTATCAATATGCCTGATCGGTCACATGTGACCAGAGCTACAGAAAAAAACCTTTTGCCATAAAGCCATGTATTTGGTTCATGATATAGTAGATTTTTTTTCCTTTTTTAATTTTTTTTTTTTCCATTGTTGCTATGAGATCTTTTAAAAAGCTAGCTCTTCCCCTCAGGTAGCTTGAGAATCAGTGATCCACACTGTACTTTCAAATATGTTTTGTTCTTTAGACTTCTTTTGTGTTATGTATCTGATGTTTTTGAAAAGTGTGTGGTTTTTCACTTCCTGAATACCAGATTTCTCTGAATCTGCGTGTAGCTCTACTCCACAGGGTTACAGTCATTCTAAGGCCATAGATTGGAAACACACTTAACATTGTAATTACTATGCACCGTCCAGTCAGAGCCAACTCATAGCTGACACTCCAGTGGGTTTTCAGAAGTAGTAAATCACATGGGAAGAGTGATGATTCGAACTGCGTACCTTTAGTTTAACAGTGCAGCTCCTCACCACTAGGCCACCAGAGCTCCCTACACATTTAACTATTGTTGTTGTTGTTGTTGTTAAGTGCCGTCAAGTCATAGGTGACTCATAGAGACCTATGAATGAAAGACCTGAACACTTGTATAAATTTCATCCTTTCTCCAAGTTCATAGA